CATATGCCGAGTTATTAGGAAATTCGTTGGAAGACATTCCTAAAATGATGTAGCCTGACGTGGTAAGTTCAACAAACATTAACTCAAATTAACATTCACACACATGAACTCACAACAAAGTAATCTATAGTTCACAAAGATATTTGTTGTATCATTCCTCAGAGTTTTTGTACCTTTCTATCCACTCCTACAGTATACGTCTTTAAAAATTGACGCTTCTATTTCTTTTGTCCCTCTAAGATCTTTGTTAAGGCTCCTTAAACCCTGTTGATGTTGGTCCGAGCTTAGAGTGGTAGGCTTACTGGCAGTCAGGTCCAGGTGGCGCCCAGATCTGTATGTTGTGCTCTCTTAACCAACGCTTTGGTCAGTGCTTCCTCCAGGTCGCTGGTCGATGAGAGGATAGAGTGGTCCCTCCGCAGATATTTTCCTTTCGGAAACTACCGGAGTGGTCAGCGTCAGAGTGGCAGTCCGACTCTGCATACCTCTGACATTGTTTCTTGGATGTCTGCCACCGTGGTGGTCACTGGTTATGGCTCTGTGGTCAGTTCTCATATCCATTAACTCTGGAGCATTGGTGTTATGCGATGCCTCTTTCTCCTTTGTGCTCCCCATGTATTGGTCACTCTCAGGCCTGTGTTAGATCTCCTCTCATTAGATGGTTGAGTGGAGAACATCCTGTTTACGTTTAGGGCTTCTGTTGCGAGCGTGCACATCGTCTTGCGGGCGGCCAGAAAAAGGGGAACTCTTGGCATTTACCCGCATCTTCCTTTTCTACAGAAGGTTCTTTTCTTTTTGCACCTCTGTGCTTGCTGATGCTCACTAACCTCTCGCTAAGTTGCTTTAGCGGTAGCTTTCAACTGTCAGCTTGTCTTTTTTTTTTTCACGTTGATTTATTTCACTTCCTCGTTGGTATCTTTACCCTTTTGCCGACTGAGTGTTTGTTTATGGAACTTTTTAATCTTTGCCAGGCAGGTGGCATATAAATTTCATCATATCAACAATGTTTTCATGGTAAGCAGACCTGATTTTTATGACCACGCAAACTATGCAACTCCCCGAACCCTCCAATTAAAAGGTTTATGCAAGAATGGGGTGTGGGGGAAAGCGTGTGCAGCTGTGGACCGCATTAAGTGCATGAGGCCGCTTAATAAATAGTATTGCATAGTCATTCTTGTGACCTGCTGTAGCCTCTCTGGTTTTTGCCAAGTATCTGTGCCCTTTTAAACATAAAGGGGCGTTTATCTTTGCTTTGTGTGTGTGCACCACCAAGTAAACTCTAAATAAGTGATCATTAATACCTAATTCTGAGAGTGTGTGAGACAGATTTGAATCCCCGTCCAGGTTTATCGGGGAGCTGCTTCTATTCTTACAGAGGAGCTTGAGTAAAGTCAGTCCGGACTACACAGCTACTAATCTAACCCAATGGTGCATTTTTGGACTCTTTATCTCTCTTCCATCAAAGGTCAGCGCTATCAGCTACCTTTGCAAATGGCTGGCAGCGCTCTGGGGATCAGATTTAAGCTCTATGCAAACAGTTGGACAGAGTTACTTGGGAACTTTACTTTAATGCTCAGGTGGTTGCAATGTGAAGTTGTAAGTCGAGTTTTGGAAATAATTAAGAAAGAATATAACGCAAAAGTTTTTATTTTCATCCATCTATCCATTTTCGTAACCGCTTATTCCCTAATGGGCTCGCAGAGTTTTTATTTTATTTACGGAAAACCATTTTTAAAAAGAGTAAAAAAGCACCATGTGAAGTGGCCGTCGAGGATTTTTTTTCAATCAGTTATTTTTACCCAGTCTTTCATACATTTAGGGCACAAGATCCTGGACTGAAAGAGGCGTTTGTTAGTCTATCAGTACGATTGGAATCATAAGGCATCTATCGCCATTTTTCTTTCTTTTCCTTTTTGTTTACTTTGGAACAGCAAGATGGTTCTTCAGGCAATATTTTCTGATACACTTCAGGCTTTGGTTCTCCACTAATACTTTTAGCTGATAATTAATAGATTTAATAAAGAGATCACTTGGAAAACGCTGAAGTTGATACTCAGAATATTGTAAGTGCTGGATGATGTAATCCATTGAAAACAAAGGGTTGTTTGGACATTGCCCTTCTCTGTTCTCCGAAATGTATGTTGAAGGGAAGTTAGGGATTCATCTGAGGGTCTTTCTATTGTAACGGCGGCCTGCTCCGTTGTTATCCTGCTCGGCACGAAGGCTTTGTGGCCCGTAGCAAAGAAAGCACACAAGCAACACATTTCTCCTTTGAGCGCTGAGATTTTGTCCTGTTGTTACGAAACTGATGTTTAGTGATGTCACACCTCATCAGAGAAGTCAGACTAGTGCACAGGAAAATGTTCTAACACCGTCGGTTGCCTCTGAATGCTGCGCCGGTGCTCCCATTTTAACATCTGTGCAGCTGTTGGAAAAACTTAATCTGGATCCCTTGAATTAGCTGCTCTTCTCCAGGGTACTGTTAATGGAAAAACCCTACAAATGTCTGCAAATGGGGGCGTATAAATACACACTGCCCAGACTAAAGAAAAAAGAGGGCGCCTTTCAGAGCATTAGACGTGGGTCTTCTCAAAGTGTTCATTTCTAGATCCTGACCTGTATCTCAAGCTCAGTCAGCAAAGCCTTTCAGACGCTTCCTGTTATACCAAAGTGGCTAAAATAGCAGACAATTAGTCCACTCACAGTGGGCCGCAGATAAAGCTCAGGAAAATGACCACCCCGCTTTGTCACGGCCGCAGTCTGCCGACGCCTCTCTTCCTCTGTAGCGTCCCCCTTATCCAGCCGGTCAGTGCACCCTATCGGCAAACAGCTGCTTCCCATCCAGATATCGCAATAGAGGCCAGAGTTCATGGAAAAGACGGGAAAAACGTTCCGTCCTAAAGTTTTCTCAGCACAGGAAACATGTGACCTCTAACCCCGCAGTCCCATCCCCCTCTCTGTCTACCCTTAAAATAGCCCCCAGACTGTAACTCAGCTGATAGTTGTTAAGCTCCCTCTGTCCTTTTAACTCTGTTTGGTGGCGTTACCAGCTCTTGAGTAGACCATTTCTCGGCCATGATAGAATTGACAGGGTTCCTAATGAGTTCCTCAGGCTAGGTCGGACCACTCTGGACCAGTCCTGGCAGTATACTCAAACTTCAAGTTTGTGTTTTTGCACTGTTCAGACACGACTAGGCGCGTCCGATTTTTTTATTGGCCAGTAAAACTTTTTTTATCACATGTATGAGGGCCATCTCAGTGTTTGGATTTTGAACTTTAAGCTGTACATTTGGCGTTTACCAAATATCCAGCCTACTCATTTACTCTGGCACTTTGGTTGAAGATCTTTGAACCAGGACACGTTTACACTGCCAAGATAGCACACAGTGAGCTCTGTGCTGGCATAAGATCAATTTCCTTTGAAAAACTTTCTAATGGTAGTTTTACCCTTTGCCTTCTGGATAAGACACGGAATGCTTCAACAAATCTGCATGTGAGCGTGTCGAGGAGGAAACCAGTATCTGTCCGGACTTGTGCTTCCTGGTTTTTAAAAAAATCCTTTGATAAGTACCGTGGTTGAAGAGGTGTTACTGTAATTGTAGTGATGTTATAGTGGTTACAGTGGTGTCGACCAGCTTTTTTAAACAGGAAAAAAAAAGAGGAGGCAGTCTTCTGTTAACAGACTGTTACAGAGCTGTAGAGTAGGAATGAATACCAATAAGAATAGGTGTTTGAGCTGAATGGTTCCCCGATTGGTAAGTGTAGATGTAAGCAGGATTTTTTCATTCATTGTTGGCCTGTTGACGCTGTCTGTAAATGCTTTAAAGAAACCACGAGTTGCTTCATAGATTTTTCAATCCCCAAATCTGACGTATAAACGCATCCAGGTCCATTTCAGTCTGTCATCCACAACATAGAAATCCCAGATCTTCGAAGTGTATTCAGACTCTGTTAGAATGATTCAAAGAGAGCGTCTTTATGGGAGTTGAAAAATGTGTGTGTGGGTGTGTGTGTGTGTGTCTGCGCACATGCAGTTGTCGAATCACTCAGAACAGAAATTGTTGACTAAACTGTTTTACCCATCAGCCCAAGAGCCATAAAAAAACAAACACACGCAGTCAGGACAGCTGACGGACCACACACACACACACACACACAGTCGGAGGGAAACACTGAAGCAAGATGAGAGGAGAGCAAGAGCTGAAATGGAAAAAACTGAACTGAATCCAGATCTGATTGGTATTCAGAGACCGAGTTTGTCTGCAGGCAGACATTCCTGCAGGAGAAGAGGGGAGGTGATGAGGAAGAGGAGGAGGAGGAGGAGGGAGCAGGAGGCAGAGGCTGACTTCACTCTTCAGTGAGGATGAGGAGCCGGAGCCATGCCTTTCCTCCTCTGTTACACAAGGTAGAGGGCGGTGTGTCGGCCGGACGCTGTTGTCGTCGCTGTAACTCCTGCCTAGTGGTTAAGATCACAGGTAGTTTGACATTCGTGGCTTTTTGCAACTTTTAGCTAACTAGATTGTTGAAGAGTGAAAGAAATGCCCTAACTTACTTTAATTCATCCATAAAGTGTTTATCCATTTGTCATCATTTTAGTTTCATGGGTTTTATGTTGAAATAGTTTCTTATAGATATTTTATTATGAGTTTGTTGTATAGACAGTTTTAAAGACTTCAATACTGTTACTTTGATATTTGACCAATAACCAGATTTACAAAAAGGCCCAAATGACTCAAATATTAGAGCCATTGTTGATGACGGTTCTTCAAAATTTCATCAGATTTATGGCCTGCAGAGGTATCATATTTAGTAAATGTTAGATTTGCATTTTCCCAGCAGCTGAGCGGGAGGGATGGAGGTTGATGTGAAGAATAAATGTATGAGTACACAGACAGAAAACACTCGGTCATCCCACTGACCCCCTCTCATCCTAATGTCCCTGAGCTGCAGGAGGCTTCTAATTCTGCTGAAGTCTGATCCAAGATGTTCTTGTGTTGCCACAGATCCTCTCCCCACCAGTGTAACCAGCTCCTCCAGAGTCCAGCGAAACCGAGGTTAACCTGAGCGGAGAGGCCACAGATAGGGGGGGGAGAAAAAAATGCCCAGATGACAAAAACTACATTGACACGCCTAGTCAACTGACTTCTCCCCCACTCGTCCATCACCCGTCCAGCCATGCTGCTGAGGAGGAAGCTGTGCGCCGTCGTGGTGATCGCCGCCGTCCTTCTGCTCATGCTGGCCAGCCACAGCATCCAGAGGAGACACGTCCTGCCCGTGTCGGCGGTCCAGCAGGACGGCCGGCTCCCGCCCACCAACAGCGAGAGCGGTAAGAAGGTGGCGCACCACCTGAAGGAGCAGTGATCAACCTCATGGAAGTTGACAGGCGGGCGGTGCATTGCTGTCTCTGATTTGGTTTGCAGTGATTGAATCTACAGTACCGCCTGCTGTCCTGAACCCCCCGTCTCCCAGAATAACAGAGGCGGACACGGCAGAGGAAGACGAGGAGGAAGAGGAGTCAGAAGAGGACCAAATTAAAGACTCAAAGTATGTTTAATGCAGTGGAAGCCACGGACTCTTGTCTCCAACCATTCCCTGTCCTGATTCCTCCGCCTCGTCCTTTTCTCAGGCCGTGCGGTTGCTCAGAGTCTTGCATTTCGGACCTGGAGGAGTCCGAATGGTTCGGCCAACGCTATGACCTCAAACAACAGCCCATACTCCGAGACGACAACAACAACTTTGACCCCGATGCACTTGCATGGTGGCTGGTGAGAGCAAAGAGCTCTGCTAATTCCCATGGAACAAGTCCTTGTGTCTTATTCCGCCCGAAGTCCGACATCTAAATTAAATTAAGTAGAATTGGAATTATGTTGGTACTCTTACCTAGATTCTGTGATATCCCTAGACATCAAAGGAAATGGGATCAGACAGTAATTACTGTAAGAGTCACTTTATCGTTTTTATCTGATCGTCAGCATAAATCAATGAACCAGAGATGGTCATTATGGAGAAAATATTCAAAATCTGCTGAAATCCGACCCGAACAAATCATTATACACCTCAAATCATCCCAGTGCATGGTCAGCGATATTTTTTCTATTAATAATTTCCGTTTTTTGATGAGGATATGGAGAAATAACAAAATCCTGACTCATCTGACAGGAAACCGTTGCAGGAACGGCCTGCCTTCATGTGCCAGCACTGGCTCGCTGTATCACAAGACAGATTTCTTATCATGCGCAGATCACAAACACTGTGATCTAATAATCCGCATGGTGTTTCTGCAAATGGACCGGACCGTGGTCTTGAAAATTCCCAGAAACTGTCTCAGACGCGGCCCCGTGCATCTGTCTCCCTGCGCAGACTGCTGACCGAGTCCATAAGTGTTTGTTTTCTGCATTTATAGATTGAGCCTCGCTGCAGAAACCATTAGCAGATTAAAAAGAGGAGGGGTAGCAATGCTGCAAACCTCACTCCGGTCCACGGCATGCAGCAATATTCCCTGCAGTGCTCTGTGTAGAGCTGTGCTGCCCCAGAATTACGCGTAGGAGTTTCATTACACATTCATTAAGGAGGACCGTTTTGTTCCCAGCCTCCCCAGCATGGCTGGAAGGGGACATGCATATTTAGTTGGCCTTAGTCTCTTTAGTCGCCGCTACATCCCCTGAAATCCTGCATGCAGGGTCTTTAAGTGTCATCTAATCGTGTTTTTTCTGTTGACCAGGCTCTTCAGCGCTCTGGCAGCGGTCAGACGCTGGGGGAAGTGATGTCACAGATGTTCCAGGTCATATCCCCGCCCACCGTGGACACCAGTCCCCACCCCTCCCGCTGCCGGAGGTGTGCCGTCGTCGGCAACTCTGGCAACCTGCGAAAGTCTGGCCACGGCAAACTCATCGACTCGCACGGCTTCGTGATCCGGTTTGTGCAAACTCCTGCGCACACTGTCAGACGCACACACGAGCGCACAAAGGTCCGACCCTCCTCTTTCCCACCTTTCAGCATGAACAAGGCAGTGACTCGAGGTTTCGAGGAAGACGTGGGGAATCGAACCACGCACCACTTCCTGTACCCGGAGAGCGCGGTGGACGTGGAGCACGGCGTCAGCCTGGTGCTGCTGCCCTTCAAGCTGAGAGACCTGGAGTGGCTGACCAGCGCGCTGTCAACTGGAACGATCAAAATGTACGGCATCGATGCAAACTCATACCCATTCTAACAGGATTCTATACACATTTCCCACATTTTAACTTTCCACAGGTACAATTTTGCATATGAGAAATTTATATTTGACTGGCTGAAACATACAAAATGAAAAAAAAACACTAAATATTTATTTGATTGCTTTAGCATGTTTGTGCATTAAAATGTATTAAAGTGTGCAATATGTTTAGAACTTTATATCAAACCTGACGTTTTTCTAATTTGGGAATAAAATGGGCGTGTGTGTTTTTATAGTCTAAGTAAGAATGACTTTGTGTTTACAGTGTGCCATAACAAAGGCCTGTTTAGCACTTATACATGCACTCTGAATTAAATGGATATCAAATTGCAGTAGTGAATTTTAAAAAGTGCGTACTCTCACAACACTATGGACGTTGTTTTCAGGACCTACATGAGGGTAAAAGACAGAGTGAAGGCTGATAAAGACAAGGTAAACAACCATGTAATCATTCATCTGTCCTGCTGCACCATTCTCCGCTGCTCATTCTTCCCTCAGCTTCAGTTTTTTGCTGACTTTTGTATTTTTCCCATAAGGAAGTTTGACTTCTCAAGTTTCTGTTCACATTTTATGTTGTTGGTGTGAAATTTGAGAGATTATGTGTTTCAAAACTACAAAATGTAGTACAAGGAATTTGTACTACAAGGAGTTCTCCAAGTCTTTATTTGTAGTTCCATCTTTTTACAGTTTGTGGAGTTAAACTATGTGTCTGTGTTCAGGTTCTGGTGGTGAATCCGGTTTTCTTTAAGTACGTCCATGACAGCTGGACGGAGCATCACGGTCGCTATCCGTCCACCGGCATGCTGGCCATCATCTTTGCTCTGCACATCTGTGATCAGGTAGGAAGGGTTTTTTAGGGGGAACGCCCTACAAAAACGCCACTTAACTCCCACATTTTCATCCTAAAGGTTTATGTCCTGCTGGCTTTTATCTATGTGAAACATAACAGACTATCTGGGACATAATTTGAAGCATAGCCGCATTGTAACTGGCAGCTGTTTGTCCCTTTGCCTGAATGAGTCTGTCCTCTATGGGGTGAACTGTGTTCAGCCTGAGAGTGGACAAATGGACACTCCAAACACGGCCTTTGTTTTGAAAATCGATTTGAATGTGAAACGTGCTATTGTTCTAAGAATGTGCCCGTGTGTCCAGGTGTCCGTGTTCGGCTACGGTGCTGACCAGATGGGGAACTGGCACCATTACTGGGAGGAGAACCGCTATGCAGGAGCCTTCAGGAAGACCGGCGTCCACAGTGCCGACTTTGAGACCGAAATCATCCACCAGCTGGCCAAAGAGGGCAAAATTACTCTACACCTGTGACCCGACCGCTCACCGGACAGCCGAGAGGTCCACACGCCGGACCTCCGTCGGACTCGAAGAACAACGTCAGATTCCAATGACCCCCGACCAACCGGCACGCAGTCCCACAGGGCGGCCAGTTTGGACTCGGCCAACTGCTGGTTGATCCATCCAACCAAATCTGAGCCAGCTCTGGACTGAACAGTTTTATTTTTTAATTTATTTTATTTTTTTAATCAAACGCCACATTTGCCTTGAGTCGGGCGTGCTGGATGAACAATGCTGCTTTGCTGTTTTTCTAGGCCTGTGGGCACAAGTGACCGGGACCCAGCCGGTCAGGTTCCCCCTGTGTGGACATCTGCTGGTTTTAACAGTTCCAGTTCAACCTGAATGATCTTGAAGTCTGCTTTTGGGACCCGTTTATTGACTGTCCTGCCGTCTGCGACTGATAGGATTGACCACATTACGTCTTGCTCTGAGTGGGGAACAACCACAGATTTTTATCTTTTTCTACTGGATGTTAAAGACCACAGGCAGGGATGACCTCTTCTTTCTTGTTTTTGTAAAAGCACTTTGTCTCGAAGAGGAAACTGTGGAAAGGCTCATGTTGTTGTTGAGCTGTCCTACCACGTCAGATTTTTTATTTTACCATCATTTACTTTATGGATGCATTATGATATATATATTTACCGAGTCATGGCTCGAACCGTCCCGTGCGAAAGGTCCCCACGTGCATTAGGATCAGGATGTCTGAACTGGAGCGATCCCTCCTGATCCAACCATATATGGACATGCAGGCAGGAAGTAGAGGGAACCTTTCATCTCCTTTTGATTACTTTTCTTGTGAATCAATGCTCTGCGAGCATTCAGATTAGTCACACCAAACAGTAAGCAAATCATGGCTTTGTGGGAATCTTGTTTTATTCAACATTTTTTTCTAATCAACCATCGTGAAAAGCAACAGGCATCATGGGAGCGGAGACCTTTGTATCAGATCAAGTTCTGAGAAGAAGACGATCCTTTCTGCAGCTCCTCAAATGATTGACAACAGCTGTAATTTGCACACTCTAAATCATGTTTGGAGTTTTTTGGGCAGGGTCAAATGATCAAAAGGTGCATGGTTCCTCTGAACCACATCTCAGCTGATTGGGTACTATAAAGGAGACCGCCACAACTTCCCAGATTTAATAATCAAAGCCTAACAGAGACGAGCCAATAAGCGCCGTGGCCAGTTTGAGTGCAGCAAAGATCTGTGGGAGATGTAGCATGATACCAACTCCACCCAAGAAGCTGAAAATCTCAGCAGGAAGCCTCCTGCTCTCTGAATGTATTTTAAAAAGTGTCGCTGATTGTCATCTGAATGTTTCTGTCATTACGAGAAGTTTCAGGACGTTTTCACATGAGGCTGCAAAAAAACAAACAAAAAAAAGACTCCTTCAGAGCTCGTCAGACTGCGTCCCTTTTCATAAATGCAGCTGAGGAATGTTGGAAATGAGAAATGATTTATGTTTTTTAAGAGATTTGGAAAGGGGGCATATTCCATTCGGGTTTCGACCGATCTCGTTGAACCAGGAAGAGGATCGTTGGGAGGCGTTCCTACCAAACGAAGGTAGTTTTGACAGATCAAAGCCCACATTCCACAGTGAAAGCGCCCTGAGACTACAGTGAGGAGCTCTGTCTGCTCCGAACAGGCTGCCTGGAGCAGCCCTCGGGAGACGAGCCGTTGTCCTGAGAGGAAGATTCCAGCTGCTCGACACGTCGCCCGGTCGGATTAGAAAAAGTCGATCTGCGTGTGCTTCTTTTATCACCAGAAAATGTCCATTGGCGTACTGCGGCGAGCGCGTTTGGAGCTGGATGCTCACGGGGGGCTGCTGCTCCGCCATTCGCTTCCTGCCTCCCCCAGACACGTCACGTGGTTTTTGTAAAGCCAGTTTCTGTGCAGCCAGAGGCCTTGGTTAATGTGAAACATCTGGAGCCAGCTTTAAATGCTTTTTTTTTTTTTTTTTTCCCCCATTAACTTTAGCTCCCGGACTTCTTCCAGTAAACTGGAAAACGGTTCAGTCCAGCGTTTGACGAGGAGCTTTTAAGTTCAGCCACTCACTGACAGAGCTGCGGCCCCCTCTGTGTCCTCAGCTGGATTTAACATCTGGATGCAAGCTTTTACTATTGACAGGCCAAGTATTTTTTAACCGTTTTTTTTTTTTTTTTTCTAACCCACAAAATGTTTTAGTTTATTTACACCAGCGACGCCGGAACGTACAGACTCAAATCATTTGTCCTTCAGAATCGTCTGTTCAGCTTTAATTCAGCTCGTTGTGTTTTAGTTTTCTGTAAAAGGGTCGGTGAGACGTTAACCTGCCGACCATCAGCTCATGTGTAGATGCCAAACAGACAGGAGCACTGTGATATGCTAACTGAAAACACAGAGAAGGTGCTCCCGCCTCTGTCAATTTGAATGAAATAAAGGTATAAAACAAAGGGTTGGTTTTTTCTTTTTCAGAAGTAGTAAACGTCACAGTCGAGGGCAGACGCTAACAGTGGTGGCGTTTTCTGTCGGTAGGACCCAAAGCTACCTGTATTCACATGACATTCAACATTCATCACATCCAATAAGTCAGGTGGAAATGGGCCCGTGGGCTGAGCTGCACCATCACCAGAAACCAAAAAAAGTAATCAAGTTAAAACATGCGTTCTTAGAAGCTCGTAACGTTATAATAAGTATTCAAACACCAGTTTAAAAAACAGTAAAACCTGAATCCGGCCGAGCACCACCATCACGTGCAGCTCATTAAACAACTGAAATCAGTCTTAGTTGACCATGACCAGTTCTGCTACATGTTGTTTATGAATGCTTGAGTTTTAAGTCAGCACTTTTTGTTCAATTCTGTGGGGGGGCGGTGCAGATGTAACTTTTTTTTTTTTTTTTTTACAGACCAAAGAGGTAAAAACAACATTAGCCTCATACATTCCATGTATTCTGAGTGGGAGACCAACCAAAACAGCTGCATTGAAAAATAGAAAGCTGTGCATTGCAGCTGATTCATTTGAGCCTCACGGGTTGCCGTACACCCCATTTCACGTTGAGGTTTTTTGTTGAAATATTTCTTCCTACGTGGTTTTCAGGGGTAAGGTTGTAAAATATGAAGAAACAGAACATCTTGATACTTTAACAAGACCCAACACGCGTTTGTAGGGATGGGGGGGGGCAGCGACAGGCTGCTGTGCTCACTGGTTGAGGTGTCCACCTCCTCTGAAGTCCCTTTACAGACCTGGAAACGTGTGTTTGTGTGTTGGTCCTGTTCCTGAAGAAGGAGCTTTGGTGTCCCAGAGTCCTGACCCGCGGCAGCTTTTTGCTGGTATTGGTTTCACAGAATCGGCCATCTGAGATCAAATTCCGACAACTAAGCTAGAGTGGAAAAAAAAGTAGTCCATCCGAATGTTCAAATAACAGCCCACTTAAGTTTTTCTTGTTTTCATTTTTAAATAAATAAATACATAAATAGCGGCACTGGACACATAAGCCTGGAGTCGGTGTGAGGTCGTCTCTTTGGCAACATTACCTGACCCGGTCCACATGACAACAGCAAGCAGCCCGGAGTCTTCACGCAAAGGTCATCCGCAACGTTTCCATGGTAACAAGAAGGCATGAGGAATACCGGTTTCCGTGACGACGACAACGGCAGGACCGTGATTGGGTGAGCCCGCTGCGGGGGTTCCAGGAGGTGGAGTCCGACCCGACCGGAGACGCTGACCGGCGCTGAGGTCAGGCGCCCGGCCGCAGGTTCTGGAGCCGGCTCCTGGTCTGGTCCGGGCTCAGCCTCAGTCAGACAGCAGCTGGACAAAGGAGGACGGAAACAAGCCCCTCTGGTCCGGCTCATCCTCTATGTAGCCGTGCTGCACAGTGAGGGAAAACACACACATTTACGCCAGCTCGTTTCCAATCTGAATATCCTCCCAAAATGTCTAAATCTCCAAAGTAAACTAGATATATCCAATATAATACTATGATGCTTAATACTTTGCTTGAATACCCCGTTGACGTAACTATTGATGGATTCATTAATTGTAGTGAGATCAGGGATGTCTGTGGTCCCCCAGGTTTTAGACGCGTCCCCGCTTCAACACTCCTGTTTTTGCACCATAGCAGCATGGCCAGACTTGTGAAAAACACAACAGAGCTCTATTTCATCTAAATCCGGTTTGCTGAAGCAGGGAGACACAAAGAGACCTGCGGCACGGCTGCCCTTTGAGGGTCCACACTCTGAGATTAGATTTGACTTTGTCGTCCCACAGGGGGGAAAATTCACATTATTACAGCAGCAAACCGAAGGGGACAGTAGTGATAAAACATAAAACAACACGTACGACAAAAAAAAAAGATAACACAACATCAGTGGCTGCACAAATTGGATTGGCTGCATAAGTGTGTTATGTGTGTGTGCTCTACTTCTGGTTGTAAAACAGGGATAATGATAAAAATGATAACATTTATTTTATCATTATAATCAATGATGAAATCTATTATAATTTAAATGAATGATAAAATGAGCGAGTGTTATGGCTAAAAGCCGTCGGGTGGAGCCCCACTGGGAGCGCGCGGTGGCGATACGTACCCACCAGTCGCTGTCCTCCTGGCCCAGGACCACCAGCACCTGGCCCTCGCAGAAGCTCAGCTCGTCGTGGTGGTCGGCCTGGCAGTCGTAGAGCGCCTGGGCCCGCCTGCTGGCCGATCCCCGAGGCTGCCGGACAGGGTCAGAGCAGACCAACAGTGTGAGCACAGGCCAGCTCTGATCTGACCGGGGACGGCTGAGACCCCTCTGATGGGAAAAAATCTAACATCTAGCCGCCTTTTTGTATTATAAAAGGATGTTTTTCTGCAGCCGTTCTGAAAAGTTACCCGTACAATTTGTTTAAGGGGAAGCTTGAGAGTAAATAGACTTTTTTTTCCCCAGGAGTTTGGGTTTTTCGGGGTTTTTTCTTGGTTTACTTTCAATTTTCTCCTCTCAGTTTCTGTTCCGATGTGGTTTGTGTTTTTCATTTCCTGTGCCCTCCTCTTTTTTTCTGCTCCACTTTCCCCTCATGTTCAGTTTCCTCTGGTTGTCCTTCTCCTGGGTCATTATCCTCAGCTGCTTCCACTTGTGATCACCCCCCCCCCCCCCCCCCCCGGTTCATTAGCCCTTTGTCAGATCTTTCTCGTATGTCGCTGTCATTTTCTCCCCGGCTCATCCTCCTCTTCCCTCCTTCAGCTGTTTCCAAGACTGTTTCTTTTGGGGGGATTTTTGCTACTTTTTCATTTTGTTCAATTATTGACACCTTGGATAGTCTACTGAATGCATAGACCCAAGTGAACGCTTAAATCTTTATTTGTATTCTAGAGTCTCTCCTCACAAATATCAGTGTACATATTTTTGGTATATATTTAAGTAGTCCATTTCTATTTTACCGTATTTTCAGCGATTCTTAAAGATCTCACCAATGATCTGCGGGGAAGGGGCTGGGGGGCGGGGCCTCTCCTGTCCATGTCGAAGCTCTGGGAGCGGTGATTGGTGGGAGACCCGTTGGGCGGGGCTTTAGCCACCTGGTTCGACAAGTAGCTGGAGATGGTGTCACTCTCTGCCCGCCGGAAACCTCAAAGAGAAATCAGCAGTTCCTCAAGTTGATGTAAAGAACAGTGACGTTAATTAATGAGCCACGAAAGTTAGTCATCATACGAATCTGACTGAACCCATGGCAACTTTAAGAGTTAAAACATAATGCTTAACTTTAACAAACAAAGGTTTGGGGTTGGGTCAGTTAATCAAAGCACAGCTTTTATTTGATCAGATATATTGTCAATTGTAATCTATTTGTTTGACTCTTAATAAAAACTCCATAAAGTTAATGACTTCTGAAGTTGGTTCATTGATCATTAAAGTATTTTTTCCACTATTATCTACAGTGAAGCATGAAAGACATGAAGAATTCATAACGCAAAGTGACTGCTGACGACCCCTTTGGTGAATTTAATATGGAACCCTCTAAGAAATGAGCACCACCTAACCTCTAGCCATCAAATTAAACCAGGAGAATCACGGTCCAAACCAAACAGCTCTAGCTGGAAGGGAAGCCTTATCTGGAGCACCCAACTGGCCCTTAATCTCACTATCTCAGGAAATATGCACAAACATGGCCTGAGATTTTTATCCAGAAAAAGTGGGTTCACTTCACAGGAAATCCGTCAAGGTTTTTTTATTTTCTATCTCCACATTGCTCACATGTGCAGACACGAATGAGCACCCAGAGAGAAAGAGCCTCTACTCTGTGATAACACCATAGAGCTACTTGCTACTGTATCTTTTAAAAAATGTTGAATAATTCATCTTTCAACAGATTTAACGCTAAACACTCATGTAACGCCATAGTTTGGATTGTTCAGCTCTGCAGAAAAATGATAAAACGACACAGAAAAACCTGTGTCCAACCTTCTGACTGCTACTGGGAAAGATAAATCCAAACCCAAGTCGTTGTCAGCTAAGATCTCTAACAGGTCTAAGCTGACCAGCACCACCTGATAGTTTCAACAGGCCCCGGACAGGAAGTACCTCTGTCTGGTCGTTCGGTCAGCGAGATGAGAGGGGAGGCTGGGCTGGAGAGACAAAGACAGTCAAAAAGACAGAGGGAGCGGTCAGTTTGACGCCAGTGCTTTCACTTGTAGTTCAGCAGCTGCCCAGCAGAGGTCAGTGCAGTCCCGATTTGAGGAGTGGGTAGTTTAGCTTCTTGTCACATTAAATTTAGCACAACACTGTCAGGATTTGGACATTTCTGGATTTCCTTTTTAAGGTAGGTCAATATTCAAATTAGAAGAAATACTAACAAAGAACTAAAAAAGCAATATAATGTCAATTCTATTTATGCATTATGAAAATATCCACCATTTAATATTTAGGACGTTCCAATGCTATGAAATATAATTATGTTGCAGAATAAGCACAAAATAAAAAAAAACTCCTCCGTAAAGGAAAACATTAAGATTTAGAACTTTATAACTGCTCTGTCATCTGATGAATCTAAATTAATTTGGATTCTGTGTCCTCATGTCCAAAAAAGAGGAATCAGAGAGGAGGCATCCTGATTGGAGAGTGATCTTAATAGAATTAACGCATAAGGAGGATCTACAGTTTATTGGCATTTTTATCAATGAAGTCTTGAAACAAACTGTAATATTTCTTTAGACAAAGTATATAAACTACCTCTAATTCTTGCTTACATTTAAAATCTGTATTGAAGTGATTGCTTTGTCACATTGCAGATTTCCTTGTAATGTTTTTGTGCTCTATAAGCACTGTTTTGTATGTGCCTTTGCTTGAATTTGTTCTTAAACTGAGCGAGTTTCACATCTGAGGTACTCACACGCACTTCTTGAAGGAGGAGTCTGGCCCGCCGTAGATCCGGGGACTGGTCGGTAACCCGTAATCTGCCCGGGGACAGGAGCTCGGGGTTAATAACAGCGTTACTCTGACGGTTTAATCGCAGCGCCGCTCTCGGGTACTACCGTGCGAGTTAGACTCCGAGCAGGTCCTCTTGTGTCTGATGGCGATGGGAGGGGGAGGGGTGGCCCTTCTGCTTCCTGCCAGAGGGAAGAAGACCTCACCGTCTTCCTCCTCCTCCTCCCTCCCTCCATCCCCTCCCGCAGGAGGAGGCGGAGGAGGAACGCTAGGAGCTGAGGAGTCGATAAAGAAAGAGTGAACGCTTGTTTTTTCCTCAGGTTAGAATCCAGATGTCAGCTTTTGTTGAAGCTAACTCAAAGATCAGCGGCTGCCCAATGGCAGATAACCTTGCTAAGACAAGCGAGGACACTAACATTTGCCAGAGGACATTTTCTGATTAAAATCAGTGGATGTGATCTGACAGAGACAACGGAGGGGAAAAGCCTTTTGCGTACTTTTCATTACCCGATGAAAACGGCTTATCACAGGAAAAGCTGGAAACATGTTTTTCCCTTATCTTGACATCTTGACAAAGGTTTTTTAATTTCTTGATAATTACCTCCTGATTGCGAGATGAGATCATCAAACAGTAACTCAATACAAGGTGCTCACCCATTTTTCCACCCAGTCAATATCAAAAGTATCATTAAAGAGTGATTTAATTAATAAGGGACTTAAATCTGCCTTTAAACTATCGGCTGAACCTTGGGGACTGATGGCATTAATTCTTTGGTAATAATTAACATATACATGTTTCAATGGGCTGTCTTTAGCAAACAGCCTTTATGAATGGCATGTATGCATAATTCCAATTTCAAATATTTTCATTTGGCAACTTCGGGCCAGATGGAACAAGCTGGAGGGAATTAACAGTAAAGGAGCATTTTCTGATGCACAAGATCTGTATCCGAGCTGACCTTTGACCCGGGGCGGCAGCGGGGGAGCAGGGGAGGACGGTGGAGGAGGGGGGGGGCTGGGGGCGGAGCCTGACGGACGGCTGTGAAGCTCCATGGCCATGGCCAGCCTCCTCCCGACACTAAGAAGGCCTCCGCCGGGCGCCGTGGAGGAGCCCGGCGCCGAGGAGGAAGAAGAGGGCGTGGACTGACTGAAGCCGAAAGGACGGGAGGAGAAGGAGAAGGAGGGGGTGAAGGCCGAGGACGATGAGGACGAGCAGCGCTCCTTCTTCACTGGACCATTCTGAAAAAAAGTCAGCATAGTTCAGACAGCACACACTCTCAACTTCTGCTAATTTTCCCTTAAGTAAACACATGGAACAGGGACTAAAAACTCTGGTCCTCAAGGGCCGCCGTCCTACATGATTTTAGAGGTTTCCTTGCTTCTACACACCTGAGTCAAACCAGTGTAACACTGGTAGACAAGAAAACACAATCTTTTAAAGAGATCTATTCAATCTAAATCAGGTGTGTTGACGCAGGAAATATCTAAAAACCTGCAGGGAAGCAAGAAATGATTCTACGCTTTCCCTAAAGAAATTAACTTTTTTAAGCTTTGGATCTCACCTCAAATATGAAACAGCAGTAACAGCAATAACAAAGACATGTTATCAACTAAAATGAGTAAGAAATATGTCCGAGGAGATTCAGAGGAGATTTTAGGCCTAAATGAGAATTTGGAGCAAAAACATACAGGAAAGCCCATCCATATCCCAAAGACTTGTCTTGAAAAAAATCAAGGTTATCTAGCCCTATAGGTTTCTAACCTAAACTATTCTGCATTTAAACAATAAAAAAATTCCCTATTGGATTTTCCTTGGGGTCAGAATCAGCAATCGCTGTCTCGACTGGCACAATTAGTTTGTGATGATCCCCGTTTGGATCTAATAGATCTCGATTCAGAGCCTGGAAACAGACAGAAAGCGGCTTCAGACGAGACGTGAGGCGCGACAGTCGGCTGTGGAGGATCCGTCCCTGGAAAAGAAGTGGAGTGACGCACCTCGGCTCGGAGGACACGCCGTTGCCGTGGTTACCTTGTCTTCAAAGTCGTCGTCACTGTCGTACAGATCTTCATGACGAAGCCTCCACTCGTATTCCACATGGACGTGATGGTCGAACTGGTTGGACTGAGCCTGCTGCAGCTGCACACACACAGTTATTCACTTTTAATGGAAGAAGCAGCTACATCTCATCAAACATCAGAAAAAAATCAAATTTTATATATATATATAATTATATAATATAATTATAATATAATTAAAACTTGTTTAGTTAGTTATTTTTTGATTTCTAGAGCGTTCGCTGTGGAAATAAAGTTTAATGGATATAAATAATAATAATAAAAACCTCACCAGCTCTTCACAGTGGCTGTGCTTCAGCCGGCGGCTCACGTCCAGAGCAGATTCTCCTAATTCGTTCTCTGCAATACACACACAATGAGGATTTAAAAAAATACAGCCAAACGTTTTATAAAGACCAATTTGTTATTGGTCCCCACTTCCCCAAAAAAGGCTCTCAGCGTCCCGGGACATATACAGAGCAGTGTCTCCCTGGTCCGGGTTTCCCTGGTCCGGCACACCCAATTCACACAACCGGGACCCGTTCATCTGATTCGGGCGAGCTGGAACGGGGAAACTCTCGGAGTGAGTGCAGGGTGAGTGTATTACTGATGTGAATCTTGGCCCGGGCCCTCAGCAGCAGCTTGACGCAGTCGCTCTTGTTGTGCAGGCAGCTGTAGTGCAGAGCCGTGTTCCCCGCCGACGTCTGCGCGTCCATGTTGGAGCTGAAAACACATCCAAACGCGGAGGTGAGCGGGCGGGGGCGGGGGACAGACACACGCAGTGAGATGTGAAGGCCTCGTCCCCGCGGGCTGACCAGTTCTGAGCCAGGAAGTCCAGGATGTGGAGCGAGGTCCTGTCAGCCAATAGGACGGCCAAATGGAGGGCCGTCTCGCCTTTCTCCTGTTGGCATGGAGACAAATGGCTGACTGTATTTTGCTGTACTAAGGATGCTTACTACCTAGCACCTACACCTGTACAACTTGTGTATGTGAGTGCATTTTTTTGTATTCATTCTTTGTGTGTCTGTGTCATGCGTGTAACACGTCTACACTGTTTATACGCACGCCATTAAAAGATGTGGGCCTTTCAAGTGTTAGAATTTGGTTATAATTACTCACTTTAGCCTTTTATGCTTTCACATGATCTATGTAAATTACTAATTGTTTTATTCCTTGTATAGCTCTATTTTGTGTTAAAGTCTCTGGCTGTAACCACAGACTCTCTCTTCTCTCTTTTCCTTTCTCTCTTTTTCTTTCTCTGTTGCATTAGATCCACACCTTTAGGTCAACACAAACACACACCATTTGTTACCACGTGCTAATGTCATCTGCATGAATTAGGACCTGGCCTGTTCATGACTTGAGGCAATTAGCCAATGGGACTTGGTTATGTCCAGTCCTCCTTTGAGGAGGCGGATCGAGCTAAGCAGCTAATGCCCATCACACCCAGATTTCGGGGCTCTTTGCCGACTGAGGCCCAGAGAGAGGTCTTGTCTGTGAAGAGCCCAGCGCTGATATCATTTGCTTCTGACCTAATAAATGTAATTTTTATACTTTTGATCCACCCTGGTTTATTCTCAGAATGGGGCTAACAGAAGGCTGGGGGCTGTCGGCGTGTACCTGTATGTGTGTGTGCAGAGGCTGGCTAAGCTCCGCCCTCTGGGCGTACAGCTGGATGAGGCTGTAAATGTCGCAGCTCTTGGTCGCCTCCTGCAGGCCGAGCCGCAGCACCGCGCTGGAACTGTGGTTCCGCCGCACAAAGTGGACATCCTGGTACTTCGACAGGATGAAGTCTTTTCGCTCCGCCCTGCGCCCCATAAAACATCTATTTGTTGAATAACGACTAAAGAAACACCTGCAAAGATTTTTTTTTTTTTTAAACTGGGAGCGGCTGGGTGTCTTACATGTGGCTGTACTGGGAGGGCTTCAGGGATGGACTCAGTAGATTTGCCTCCAGGATTTCGTTAAAACCAGAGTTCCCAACGTTCCTGGCCAACTGTAAGAGACAAAGAACCAGAAAACGTCACTACGACTAATCAACCAACTCCCTGAGATGGAACCTTACACAAGAAGGAATACAAAACTCGTAATGTCACTTAACATTACCTGTTTGGACTTTTTTAAGCGAGCTCAAGAGATGATAGCTCTAAAGAGCTTACATACAGACCTCCTAAGAAGGAGGATTTATTTAGTCTGATCCGGGTTCGTTCAAGTACTTTAGCTCCCTAAAAACATGCACTTTTTCTGTTCATCTCTCAGCAACCAATCATTGTGTCACATGCAAATGAGTCCCCAGCTGCACTTCTCCAGTGATTTATGACAACAATCTGACAACACTTACAAATCAACACAGCAGACGGAGAGAGGAGCTCATTGTTCCACTCAGCTGACAGCTTTGATGAACTAGTTGCAGATGAACAGTTTCATTTACCAGAAGGTCTGAAGTCCCCAGACTGTCCAGGCTCAGGGACTGGATCCTGGAGACGTGGACCCCCATCTCCCTGTGGATGCCCGAACACTCGATACAGGTCAAGATCCCCAGGTTTGTGGAGAGCCATTCAGGGTCTTCAGATGGAGACAAGGATTAATACATAGAGATTTCATTTGGGGTGAGGTGGTTGTTTTAGATTGGGGGGAGGGTGTTCGGTTGAAACCTGGAGCTCCACAGTCGCAGCAGTAGTTGTTTCCAGGCATCCGACGGATGTCATCGGTGATGGCTCGGGTCAGATCCTCCACGCTGCTTTCCCCCCCTCCTCCCCCCCTCCTCCCTCCGTCCAGAGCCATGTTCAGAGCCTCCTGCTTGCTGTTACTGAGCACCGAGATCCATCTGAACACACACAGCGCCATTCAACGCATTGCTCTTAGACGTCATTAGGTTAGCATCATACTCCTTCAGCATGGTGAGACCCACAGCAGAACAGCACAATATATTCCTGTTTTTCCCTCCTATGCATCAAAGCTGGCATCAACTACAACCAGAATTAAATTAAACCAAAAAAAAAGAAAAAACGACTTAGGCTAGATTCTGCTTTAAAGCAAGCATTTATCCACTGATCTTTAACTATGAGGCGCTTCATGATGGGACGTCCTAAATTCACCACAATATCTCTGTTAGCAGCTAGCGTTGGTAGCATAAAACAAGTGGAGCTGTTCCTTAAGAAATCCAAAGGAAGATGTTTTGACTCACGCCACACACTCAGCCTCATCCTCAGCCAGGAAATGGTAGGTCCGGTTGTCTGGAGGAGAAATAAGTTGAGTTAGTCTCTACTATAGAGGAGTGGTTTTTCACTATGATGCCATTATGTAAAACATATCCAATAAAACTGGACTGCTTCAGCTTCTCAGGTATGCTGGTGTTTGATGTGAAGTGTTCTTTATTATATTAGTTATTAGTTATATTATTAGTCTTACGAGAGATGAGGTCAAAGCATTTCTTGTCCTCCACGCTGGGTTTAACCTGACACGTCAGCAGGTTGAGTCTGGTAGGGGCTTTATTAGGCTAACAGACAAAGAAAGAGGTTCAGTTAATTAAAGAATTCTATAGTGTTAAACTTCGAAGAATCATTAATACACAGAAACAAGAGCGAGGCAGTTTGGGGACATGATTAAGAGGGACATGCGCAAGCAAAAACAGAGGAATCCCTACCACAGAACTGACTTAGCACCGTTTGGGGTTATTGTCACCACTTGATGTGCAAATGTGTGTTTTAATGCTGAAGCACATACCAAAAAAGTAGCTATACAGGTAAAGATCAGAGGTCAGAGGTCACAGCACACTTACTGTTGCGTGTGCTATGGTCAGGTAACAGTTGTGAACAGAGCATTTCCTCTTCTGCCACATCTTCCTCAGCCTGAAAGCAAGACACGCACACAGTTAGTGTTACTCAAAACTCTTACTTGGCATCTTTTTGCAGACTTTTTACAGATGGGTTCATGTTAGTATAACTGTCGGGGTGGTAGGACTGAAAAGTGGCGGTGGCATTCAGGACTAACCCATGAGAAGCAAACACAGGCTTATGTTACTGACTTTAAAGGAATGTCAACAAACAGGCATATGGTCGATGCAGCTTTGGTGGATGTCCAAAAACTAAACAAAAGCAAAGCACCAGCAAACAACGGGCTCTGCTTCTATGCAGGGGCTGAAGAGACTTCTGTTCTGAGTAAAGATGGCCTCCCAGTTATTTTATTTCATCATGTTTCATGTTAAATGGCTCTCAAATGAAAGTCATGTAAGTCATTTTCGGAGTGTGTGTGTTTTTTACCCGTCGCTCTTTTTGTAGAGGAATCCCGTTCTCTCTGTTCCATATTGTTTGTCTCCCAGCAGCTGATGCATACTGTACACCTGCTTTGGTAAGGAGTCCTAAAAGCACACAAAACACTTTAAATTAGGGTCGAACAGCCGTTTAAAGTCAGAAAGCCTTTAGTGTTTGTGTCTCTGACCTGATCTGTGTGGACGACCGGCCTCAGCTGGTCTCTGAGAGCGCAGAGCTGCCTCTTCTCCTCCTCCTGACGCTGCTTCACCTGCACAACCACACAAAAAAGATCAACTGTCAGACGGAAACAAATGCTGTTTCAAATTAGTCTGGATTCTCCGTAAAATTTGACACAAAAAAAAGCTAGCGGAAATGATTAGCTCATCTCATCAACCAGCATGAGGTTTGGATATTGAAAGATTTCAGCGTTCATTGTCCTGCATGTTTTAGATTTCAAATTTTAACCCTTTAAAATAAATCATTGGTGGAATTGGAGATATTCCATTTCATCTGAATCAGGTGAAAGGAGCAGGGAAAAATCTCAAACATGCAGGGCCGTCCCAGAGGACAGGAAGTGACTAGTATTGTTTCAAAGCTCTGCATGCTGACAAAATTTCTGACAACCACTACTGGAAGGTTTAGTGTGCATTCCTTAAAGCCTAAACTGCCATCACTGCATTTCAGAAGAAGGCAACAAACTCTACAAAACGTTCCGCCAACAGTACCGTGGTCAGCACGCCGTTCAGCTCTTCGATGTACTGCTTCAACCTCTGATTGGTGGAGACGCACTCCTGCAAGAAGCTAAACACAAAAACACACAGTTAGGATACAACACGAACCATTTCCTGGATATGTGTCATTGTGAGTGTGAGTTCCTACTTGTTGTGACTGTGGTAGTGTTTAATGAGGTTCTGAAGGAGGTCGACGCCTCTTTTTGTCTTGATCTCGTTTACTTTAATGAGATACTGAGGAAGACAAAGGGACGTTCATTTACTGAGTGGAAAGAAGGCAGGAAAAAGTTGCCGAGCGAGCGATGGAGGAGGAGGGGTGGCCACGTACCTCACACATGCTCAGCTGGAAGGAGCGCCTCTCCTTCTCTAGCTCCTCAGCGATTTCTCCTCCGCTCACCTCACTCCTAACCATCCCATACTGGCGGGCTAACTCCCTCTTCTCCTTCTCCACCTGCTTGCTGAACACATGCAATCTGAATTATTAATCTGAGCGCAGCCTCTTCTGCCATTTCTAATTCTGGCTTTCTGAATTATGTATTTTACAGGCACAAACGTGTAATAAGGACAATTCATGCTCATAATATTGATAGATGTGCGGATTTAAAGCTCTCCGATGATTTGTGCAGTCGAAACTCACAATCTGCTTTCATAGTCTCTCCATGCTCTGTCAAAAGGCTTCTTCAGGTCCTAAAGAGGAAAGAGGAGGAAGCCGGACATCTTTACTGAGCCCATTTCCACAGATCTCCTTTTTAGTTTTCTGGTGGGTTTCATGAGGTAATATAAAGACAAATAATCAGCAACAGTCCTCACCCCCTTCACCTCCCGCAGGTCTCCTTTAACCAGAGAGTCCAGGAAGAAGTTGATGTTGTGGAGCATGCTCTTTAACTGCACAATCACACACAAAACACACGAGCAGGTTTAAAGCACCAGACACTAAGGCTGGTCCTGATCCAATATGGCAGCTTACAAGATGGCAGCCACATTCTGGACATAAAAGAAAGATAAAGATAAAGCCTGTCATCCATTATTTTCTGGGGTATTCGCATAGGTTTTTCTCCTCTTGTTTCAGAAATAAAACTATGTCCTTTGTCTTTTAGCTCAACCTGTACATTAAAAGAGCTGAATTCACAGTATTTTGTATTTTGTGAAAAATTTTGTGTAAACTCATGACGGCTTACAGATTTAAGGCTCTGCTCTAAGAGAGCCCTGATTTTATAACCACAGCATCATCAGTAAGACGAAACCATGGCTTGACTCCATCCCACATATGAGGGGGGAGCTAAAAAAACATTTCCTCAGCTTTGAAAGCAAATCAAAATAACTTAAAATGTTATTCATTCTTATTATTTTTTCAACTGAATATTCGTAGATTGTAATGACACCCAGTGGCAAAGTAGCAGATTACATCCGACCGGAGGAAACCAGCCAGCGAGTCCCATCAGGTGTTGGCCCAGTGACCTTTGACCTCTGCGTGTGGTGCTGTTCTCTCTCACCAGGTTCTTCATGGGAGACAGGAGGTCTTTGGAGAAATCGGCCAGGCGGCAGAAGGCGGAGCCGACCTCCGTCTCACCGTTGGAGTGGCAGTTGACGGAGAGCTTCTCCATGGAGTTGATGTACTGCTCCAGGTGAGCCACGTGGTCTGGCGGACAAAGCGAGCGGGTTAAGCTAATGGCCGACGGGGTGGGCGCCTCAGCCACCCCGTCGGGGCCCCCCCCCCTCACCTTGGCCCGAGGTGTACTTGGCTTTCGCTGCTTTCTTCATCTTCTGCAGCACCAACCGGTCGCTGTCCAAAGCCTGAACGAGCACACACACACAGGAAGACACAAGGGGGGGGGGGG